TAATTTTAGAGCGAAGTCAATAATCCTAGTTCATACGAGAGCCAGACATGTACTCTTTCTAACACCGTTGGAATTTTCGGATTCCGATGTTCCATGCCCGCCATCAAAAATAAGGACTTTTCTTTAATTACAAAAAACAACAACAAAAATTTTTTGTAAATTATTTTTCTTCTCTTTTAAATCTTCAATTATATATGTGCAAAGTTACAAACATTTTTATTGATTTACCAGCCCATTGAAAATCTTGAAAAATTAAAATCGAGAATGGGTGGGGTTCCCTTAAAAGGAGTCCACAAGATCCTCTAGTCTTTATTGTCCATTTAATTTTTTCCCATGTAAATTTTTCCTTTAAAAACGAGTCGTCAGGGTCCTGAATAATTTTTCTATTGTCATCAAGTCTTCAAGAATTTTTTTCTATTAAAAAAGTACTCATGGTCTTTATTAATTTCCTTCTATTAGACGTGAAAATTTTTGTTCTTTTGAAAAAAGAGTCCTGTCATCAAATATATGGTGCTCGACTTGTAAATACTGTAGCCAGCACTATACATTTTCAGAAAAATATCTAGCATATCTTGCAATTTATATCCACACCTCATATCGAAATATAAAATGTTTCTGTTTGGAGAACTATTTCACAATTTTCTACACAAATTCCCAAAACTATATACACACAAACAAACATATGACATCCAATTAGTATTTATGAATATTCTCAATGAATATGATGATATACGTAGTAGCATCAGACTAGTGTAAAATTTCACACTTGACCTTTCTTAATATTTCATGTTAATGCCATTTTTCATAAAAGATAAATATTTATAGAGGAAACTATAAACCATTTGAGATACGTTCTACAACAGGTGTTAACAATGTGTGTGTTACTTTTACTATTTATTAATGTCAACATTATTTACACTCCGATGTGACACAGAAACATATAAAAATACAACAATATATAAATATTTGACACTATGACCCAAGAAAATAATTTGACCCAAAAAAAGTAAAAAAAGAATGACTGAAAAGTGAAGACAATGAATGCTAATGTGGCCCATATCAATGTTTAACTATGTTATTAATTTATTCATGCGACAGAGTTTTGTTTTGCTTATGGTTCTATTCGAATATCGTAGAAAGAAAATAGAGAGTTTTGGCATCAAAATAACAAAACATCTCTCCACATTCTAAATAAATACACATGAGGTTATATGGGGATAATAAAATTATATTCATATCCATATAAACTGTTAGAACTATGCAAATGATGTTACCGATGACGATAGTCTGGGCTAAACAGGCCAGTCAACGATGGTGATGATCATAAATTTAAGACCATATCGTAAAAAAACTGGTTGTGTGTGGTCATTGTTTTTTTGTTGTTTTAGTAAAATGTTCTATGGAACGATTTAGGTGTCTGCTGGTTGTGTGTGTGTGAGCTTATGTATGTTTGGTAATAGTATTTTGTTTTTGGTAACATTCTTGTAAAAACCCAACACAACCATTGATGTCTTGTTTTTATTTTCATTGATGTTTTGTTATGTTTAAGATGTTTAAAATCGAAAATAAGGCCTAAATAGTTATCACCACTAAAGATTGTCTAATGGAAAAAGAGAATAACACATGTCAAGAGAACAGTGTCATCGGTCAAGCACAGTGGAATGGTGTAGAGATTTTTTTTTAAATAAAAATAAAAATTAAGATAAAATATATTAAAAGAATATTTAATATTCATCGGATACCCCATAATATATATTTTTTGATGAGAATATAATTCTACGTCGATATTGCAGTGTCTCTCTGTTAAAATAACTACAGAACCCGTAGTATTTAACATAGAACTTCGAAATCCAAAAATAAAGTTATGAGGTCTAGTGAATTTGTTTTTATAGAAACATAAATTCAAACATTCAGTATACAGTCCTGTGAAATTTAATGATCTGATATAAATGTAGTTGCAGTCTTATATTGGTCGGTCATAAAATTAATTGAGTAAAGACAAGTGTATTAAATGTGCCGGGCCATACTTTTTATGCCCTCCAACATGAGGTGGAGGGTATTAAAAGTACTTAAAATCTATTCAAAATACCTAAAGCCATGGTAAAATGTTGACAGGAAATTTTACACACAATAAAAACATAAAAATAAACTATAGCCTATTCGGTAGAAAAACGTTCCCACTATGCCAAATGATAGGGACATATCCCGCAACTTATGTCAATATTGGTAGTTTAGGTGGGTAAGAAAATTTGGTACCCAATGAGAATCCAAGTTCCTAAATTACAGTCAATTTTATTGAGAATGTTATATTTCAAAGCGTTGTATGCCTCTAACGTTTCAGCCCACTGTGCAACCATTACAATACAACGACATCAATGCCGTACATATATTGCTCACCTTTGACAAACTGCCCATGGCAATATAATATGACAATGTTTTGGACATGATAATAGCCCCCCACAATTCAAAACAAAATACCTAACGGAGATTCCCAAAAATCATAAAGCCAAGAACTTTTGTTTGTTTCAGTTCTGAAAACAAGAAGAAAAATAATTTGTTTTTATGTAAATTCCCTTTTTGGTGTTCCAATGACCCGATTTTAACCCCAGTTTTCGAAATGCATAAAATTCTGTTGTAATTTTCTTAAAGGGTTTAGTTAACATCGTTAATTTCATACGATCAGACGCAATCATAGCACGGAAAAGATATGTGAAAAATTCGAAACGAAAGGAAAACAAACAACAAATTAAAAATCAAACAAAATAAAAAAAACAACACATGCCAGTAAAAATGTTAATGCGATTAGCAACAAATAATCTATGTAAAATTGTGCTAATTTGTTTATTGTGTATTAACCGAAATGTTATTCTCAAGTCAGCAGCAACAACTACTGTTGATGGTAAGGTGATATCGCCTCATAATCTCATAATTAGGTGAAATTTTTCGAATGGGCGTTGTGTAGCCTAAATATGTAGATCAGAGTGAAACAATAACCAAATTAGTAGAATACTAAAAATGGATTATAATAACAAGGCAACATAAAAAACCATAAATTAATTGCGCTAAACGTGTTGAGAAATTTTTCACATCAGTTCTAGAACAAAAAATGATAAATAAAAAAGGTGTATGTCTAAAATTTACATGCAAATGATTTTAATAGCTGTTGTAAAAGTGAAAACCGTAAATAAATGAGTGGATTATAACGGAATTTACAATAATGATTGAATTTGATGAAATATTTGATTAACTTTTTGTAAATGTAAAAATATCGTTAAGTTTCACCAAGCCGAACCTTGTCTACTTTTGCCAAGAAAAAAAAAAAACGAAATACCAAACTACTAAAACACAGGTTTGCAAACTCGCCACACCTAAAATGACTTGTGAGCTTTATATGAGAACTATGTTGGACTACATGGACTTAATTTGTTTACCCATTAATAAGAAGTTGTTTATCCGCCATGGTCCTGGAATGAAACAAATAACAATCACTTCGTAACAGTCAAAGACCTTTTTCTCGACTCGAAAGTGTATCTATTTTTCGAAATTTTGGTCGGAAGATTACCACCCATAGAGGCTGGTAGACTCAGTTTATGTACCCTCCACCATGAGGCGGAATATATATATTTAATTAGTAATTTCGTTTGTAACACCTCCAAATATTCACAAGAGATCCCATAAAGTACATACATATATGTCGATTAAACCATAGCTCCTTTTTTAAATTGCACCATCGAAAAGGTTGTACATTTGCACTCTGGAGATTTGGAGGGTGATTAACATTTTTCTTAAAAAATTGCCCATAGGTTCATGCCTTGACGTAGCCGCATTTTCCACATAAGTGACATTCCGGGTTCTTGGAGAGTGAAATTAATTTTTGAGGGAATTTGTCGATATAGTTTAATTTTTTTCATAGTTACATAGTTTAATTATAGTTTAATTTTTTTCCTGCTCCATTTTTATGTATTTGGCATTTTGCAATCCAAGGGGTGTTGAATTCCGGATTTTCGAAGTGCAAACAAATGTTTTCCTAGAAAATTTTCAGCATAGATTATAGACCCCATACAAAGAACCAGCTTTATTTTCGCTATTTTCGAGTTCTTTAGATGGTTTTTCAAACTGAATGTGTATAATTTAGTATTTAATTTCTTAAGAGAATGAGGAGAATGAAATAAAGTGAAGTTTTTCAAAATTCGACCATACGTGTTTACTTCTTTGATGACAAGATCTCTTTGACCATCTTGATTGAATTGTGACAAAAGACGGAGTAAAATCTACTTGAATTCATTCCGGCTTATAGTGTTAATCATTATAACATCTACTACATATAATGAAAATTCTGTCGTTTTCTCATATTCTGTACAGCTTAAATATGAACCCATTTTAGAAGTTCTCAAGTGCTTAAAGTTCTTTCTTGATGGTGATGGAATTGTCAAAGTGTTCAGGATTCAATGAGAACAAATGTAAAACATTAGAGAGTCGACCATCATTGAATTCGTGGTATGAGTTTATCACAGTACCATGGGATGGTTCTTCATCGTCATACATAGATTTAAGTTCATCGGTGCATGCTTGGCGCTCGAAAATGTTTACAACTCAATTCCCTTTTCAGCAAATTGACACTGTGAATAAATACAACCTATAATCGTACGACATACCCTGAGTTCTTTTATGGAAATAAATCATAAACTTCACCATACAAATAACAGTTGTTCAGATAGATATAAAAGCCATCGTATATATCCCATGTAAATTCCAAATTTTTTCTTGTAAATTATGGACCAAAGAAAAGAGTATTATTATATTTCATTTAAATATGTGCAATGCAAGGGACTTATTGATCTGCTCTCTTATTTGTTTTTAAACACCACTTAATTGTAATTATTTTCTTGCTTCATATTTTATTTTTGAAATTATAATAAAATACAAATTAACCAAAATTTGGGAAAATTTATTCAAAAACCCAACTAATTCCACACAATTTCAATTATTTACATTTTCAGCCAAATCCCTGCCACTTTATAGACTGCAGCAAGAGCAGCAGACAAATGAACCACGTAATCTTCAAACTTCATATCAACAACTTGAGGTAAATGGCCAAATACCTGATGAAAATGATTGGGATTCATTGGGAATGCCATTTAAATCCCAAACGCATACTTTAAATAATCTGAAAATCAAAATAATGGCCACAACAACGAAACCAGTAACGAGGACCTCAACAACAACAACAGCAACATCGAATATTTACATGAATAATATTGAATATGATTTACGTCTGAGACAGTTAATGGAAGCCCTGGTCTTAAATAGTGGTATTGAGAATCAAGAAGATGCAGTACAAACTCTATTGCCAATGGATTTTAAAGATGACTATCGCCAGCATTTGCAAGAGATGAAGGAGGAGGCATCAGCAACAGCTACTACTGCAGCAACCAGGCCAATGTCTAGCACTACCAGCACCAGCAGTAACAACATCAGAAACAACAATAAGATTACACGAAATAACATTAAGGCAAATTATCAGGATAATAAGGATTTGGTGTCTACGCCCTTTTCCACCTCCTACTTTTCCTCTCCCTCTGCGGAGTTGTTGTCTAACAAGCAGGAGAACATCACTGCCGCACCAGCCATGCTACTGTCATCGTCAACATCATTGTCTGCTGCTACGTCGTCGTCGTCTTCATCTTCTCCGTCTTCTATGTCATCATCTGCATCATTAAAGGATTCACTGTTGGATTATGTCCTCCTTGAGTACATGACAAAAACTAAACAGAATCTTACACGAATTTTTGAAAGCAACAAAGATGCAACATCCACCGACGAGAGAAATTCAACGTTGACAGCCTTGTCAAATGTTGAAAGAATACAACAACAGCTAGAATTTCTACAAAAGAATGCTGATAAGTTTAAGAAATTCCAACAGGTTGAGCAAAGAACGAAAAATGCATCAGCCATGGAAGGAAGCTATGCGATTCCAAGTGCTAGTGGTGGTGGCCCCGAGCCAGTGGTATTTAAAGAGGCCACTCAGGACGATGATAAAAATTTGAAAATTGTCAATAAGAGCCATGACCAAACAATCAGTACAAATGAAGGAGATAATGGAATGAAGAAAAATGCCAATGTAGAAATTACAACGAAAGGGGATAAACGAAATACGGCAATGAATTTAATGGGAAATATAGAGAATTTCAATTCACAGGAAAATGTAGATATGAAAAAGAATGTCGAAGATACATTCCAGGATGATAGAATTAATAATGAAAACAACAATACAAATAAAATAACAGAAGAAGATATGACAAATCATATGGTTAATTTTGGAATAGAAGAAATTGGTTTAAATAATACGAAGGACCTAAATATTTCAAGCTTAAATATAACAACACCACCGGATTTGAATTCTTTAACTTTTGATATCTTACCAGATAGTCCAATAGTTTCTGAAGATGTTTTATATCTAAAAGAGATAATTAATAATTTAAATGTAACAAATAATACAAAGGAGCCCCTAGTGGCTTCTGTAATAGATAATTTGAAAACATTAATAGAATCCAGAGGAAATAGTCCTGCAAATATTGAGGCTATGGCTGATACGATCGATGAAGGAGCCACAAATTCGCCCAAAGAAGAAAATATAAATCAATTCAACATTCTGTCAGTAATGAACTCGAATTTAAGTCCTACACCCGACGCGCAATTATCCTCAAAAAGTGAAAATAAAACTGTCTCAAATAAACTGATCCAACCAACACTTCAGCTCAACAATAGCTTGACCACTGACAGTTCTGTGAATAACAGTAACATTTCAACGACTGCAAATCCTTCTAGTACCCAATTATCCTTAGAAAATAATAAACTAACGAAATTAACTTCAGATAACCATCGAAATTCTCCCAACGAATCAGAAATTGCAGAAACAAAATCCGAACCTGATAATTCACAATATCTTCCCTATGTGGATGAAGATTTGCTTGTTGCTTTAATCAATAACCTGACGAAAATTTCTACCGGAGATAGTAAAGATAATAATTCTACAAATGATGATCAACATTCCACTAACGATGCCAACTTTACCAATGCCAATTTTACAAAAGAAACAGATCAATCGGACGTAGTGACAACAATAAATCTTGGAACTGAAGAAATTACTGTTATGACCGAAATTCCATATACAGAACCTATAACAACAGAAATAAATCCCGACTACACTGATCAACCTCTCACAGTGTTGGCAATAACAGAAAAAGCAACTACTCCTACCGAATTGCCTAAAACAGAAGAAGCAGAAGATTTCATAAATACAGAGTTACCAACAATGGATATAATAAAAAACAATTCAACAGAAATGCCAATACATGAAAAGAAAATACTACTACAGAGTTGCCAATTACAGAAATTGAAGATGAACCGACGGAGTTACCAATAACTACTAAAGAACTTATAAATACAGAGTTGCCGATTACAAACGCAAGCTCTGCAGTAATAGATGATTCAACAACAGAAGCAAATATTTCATTAACAGAACAGTTCAGCACAATACCAATTATAACCGAACCAGAATCTCCAACTACTGAAGAACCCAACTTCAAAAGTCTCACAAATCAAAGAAATGAAGAAATGTTTTCCACAAATCTTCGTATTTCACGAACTGAAGAAATACCCAAAACCGATAAAACCTCTGATGCGGATATTTCTGTTACAACAGAAATGACGATAACAATATGCCCCTTCAGAGGATCTTGATATTCCAGAGCAAACGACAGAATTGGCATTTTCGAATACACAAATACCAATCATGGAATCAGATTCAGCCTTAACGAAATTCGATGATACCACCACAATACCTTCTGAAGATTTACATACCGAGTTACAAAGGGAAACTACTACCATGTCGCCCACAATATTAAAAGTAACAGCTGCAGAGTTAATAGCAACAGACATTCCTCCCGTTCAATCCAGACACTCGATGACTAATACAATCTACTCAGATGCTACAGAAAATCAAATATCTGACAGTGAATTATTTACTACAGAGATTTCAACGACAATAGCTGAATCTCCTGTTACAGCCGAGACATCTTCAGAACCATCGGTAGTAAACACCGAAAATCCTCTAAGTGATTCTGATTCCGAAATTACTATGAATAAGGAAATACTTCCTAAACTCAAGCTAAATTTTTCAGATATAACAGAGGAATCCACAAAAGAAAATCTGAACACAGATCAAAAATCAACAGAATTCTCTTCTTCACCAACAGGTAATAAAATTCTTCTCACAACAGGGGAATCAGCTGAACTTTCTAATTTTCTTCCACCAATAAACAACATAAAAGTATCTAACGAAGAAATGCTTAAAGGAGAGGAATTGCTTACAAAACACATGAAAACTCTTCCAGAAATAAAAGATCCATCATCAACAAAAATGCTTACCATGGATCAAATTATAGAGGAAAATCAAATGGCTACAACTGAAGTTCCATTAACAGATACTGAAACTCCACTCAAAGCAGTTAAGGGAAATGCGACACACACTTCATTTCAAAAACATACTGATTATTCTATTGTAGATTCACTTATCGAAACCATCGAACCAATGGTGACAGAAAAATCTTCAACAGAATCGTACACAATGGTTCAAACTACTACAGAACAATCTACAGTAATACCCGAAGTATATGTTACAATTACTACCAATGATGAGTTAGTCACCGAAAACCTTCCCACAGAGCCAATTGAGAATGTGACAGCAGAAGTCTTCGCTACAGATGCGCCTTTAAAAGATCTCCCCACTATCCCGAATATAATAGAGGAAGACCTGACGGTTACGCAAAAAGAGATTACCACAATATATCCACCCTTCACTAATTCCCAAACAGAAGTTATTCAAATTACCAGTCCAACAGAAACATACCCTACAACGGCAACATCTGAAACCGCATTGGCAGAGAATGTGAAAGAAGCACCAGTAGCACAGGATCTTCCTGAACCTACAACAACGACATCATATTTTACTGACATTCCAATAACTGAAGTCCCATATGCAGAAGTACCCTCAACAGAATCAAATACAGTAATTTCAAACAGTAACCTTTCAACTTTGTCGAACATTCTGGATGATGATGTTGAATCTACAACCACAGTCATGCCAGAACATGGCGAGATTCCTAGCAATATATTTTCAACATCAGATAATGTCCATACTAACAATTCTGAATCTAAATCGCCTGTAACTGAGCGTTCCGTAATGTCAACTGTAAGTTATGTTGAATCCACAACATCGAACATTTCTGATTACGATCAAGAGACAGCAGGATATCTCAGAGCAAATTTTCCATTTGAGGAAGTACCCGCCACTGAATTCCCTATACCAGGCCATATAACAAATCTTCCCAGTGAAAAAAAGACAACAATTGAGGAAACAAAGGTTGACTTACAAATATTGAATACAGACACAGATTTGCCAACTACGGATATACCGACAACAGTGTTGCCAACATCGACATATGAAGTTAATAGTGATATTGTTGAGAACAATAAGATCACTATCACCGAACCTAGTAATGGCTTGGACCTAACCACAATAACAACTGATGATAATTTTATGGAGGGAAGAGAAGATGGAAGCATCGAATTACCAACTACAACATCAATAGTAAATGAGTTGCCAAACATTCATACGCCAGAAGATGAAATTTACAAGGCCAAGGAAACAAACAATTCCCAAAATCTAGAAGAACAAACTTCAGACGAAAGTGAAGAGTTAACTAAAGAGAGTTGGTTGGACATTGATAAAGACAGTACAATGCCTGAGCAAAATATGAAGCAAAACAATTCAGCTGAAAAAGAAAAAATATTCTCAAAACTACCTACAATGAATTCGGACGACTACACAGATGAGAATTCAACTGATGATTATATTGCAGACCAAAATGTACCTAAAAGAAATAATATTGTGGAAGATTATTTGGATGAGAGCTTGGAGTCCTCTGAGGGAGATGATTCAGACAGCGATGTAGAAACTGAAAAGACCCCTTTACCAACATCGACTAAGGAACTTGGCAATACTGAGTTGGCAATTACATTGCTACCCAATACCGAAAAAGGAAATTCAGACGAAAGTGTAGGGATAACTAAAGAGAGTTTATTGGACACTAGGAAAGGCAATACAATGCCTGAACAAAATATGAAGGGAAACTATTCAACTGAAGACGAAAAAATAATGTCTAAAATACATACATTAAATTCAGAAGATTACACAGATGAAAGCTCAACTGATGATAATAATGCAGACCAAAATGTACCTAAAATAAATAATGTGGTGGTAGATTATTTCGATGATAGCTTGAAGTCCTCTGAGGAAGATGATACTGACAGCGGTGTAGAAACTGAGAAGACCATTATATCAACTTCGACTGAGGAACTTGGCTATACAGAGTTGCCAACAACTTTTCTACCCAATGCGCACCATAAAGAAGATGTTAAAAGTAATTTGGAATCAGGTAAACACACATATACAACAGAAACTCCAAATACCGAAGAACCTTATACAGACGATTTTGTAAAGAGATTGCCAACCGAATCTTTTGAGAAACATATGATTATAGAATTGTCAATAGTATTTGTTGCTGAAGAATTACCAACCACTAAACAAAACTTAATTAAAACTAGTGAAAATGAATCCAATGCTGTGGAAAACCTTGATATTAATTTTAGAAATTCCAACACAGACGAATCAAATATCGAAAAATCAACAGAATTGCCAACTGAGGATAATCATATGATTCCTGATATTCGAACAAATTCTACAAGACAACAGTTAAATGCAGAACACAAAGCTGTGCTCCAACTCAAGCAAATCACTGAATTTAAGTCTGAAAATCTGGAATCTTTATCACACTCCAATGTCGAATTAAAAGCCAGTGTTTCAGGAACTACTTCAAACTTTCCAATAAAAGAACAAAACCCCTCAGCTTCATTGTCAAATTCTTTAGATAATCTTATCAATAAACCACAATTGGATGAATTTATAACAGAAAATAAAGAAACAGAAGATCTACACGAAGAAGATAAAACAGAAGATACTGATAATGACGAACCTGAAACGAATTTTGGTGACAATATTCAAAGACTTCTCTTGCAACTTAGAGACAAATTAAATGAGGAAAATAATTATTATCGTTCGACATTACATTCCCAGGATGCCTCTGACTCTGAATTCACATACGCAGAATCTACACCCAATATTAATGATGATGCGGTCGTCTACGGCAATCAGCAACAACCGCCTCGTCGCACAATTTCAAATTCACCATCATTAACAAATGATGTCAAATTGGAACCACAGGATACCACAGCAAATTTAGATGAATTAATAACAATTAAAGGAAATTCATTGCACGAAATATCTGGAATAAACAAGATGTCACAGCAAGGACACAATATACCAACCAAATGTCCAGATAACAATAATAAGGACCCCAAGCGGGGGAAATTACATGAAAATGGTGCAGCCATGGTTAATTGCTTTACAACACAAACTATGCAATTAACAACATTGCCATTGCCATCGACAATGCCAGCACCAGCAGAAATTACCACAGGCCCAACGATACCCACAAGAGAATTGAAAGACCACACTGACAATGACGACAAGGGCTTCGACGACGACAACCACGAAGAAGAAGAAGAAGCAAAAGAAGCAGAACCTGAATCAGACGATGAGATGCTGATAATGGCGTTGACAGAAACTATAGAAAATCAAGAGGGAGGCATTGAAAAGTGGTCAACATTTAAAAACAATCATCTGAATAACGGTAGCTTAACCAAAGCCGACAATGATGATGCTGTTCAGATGGAAGCGATAATGGCCAACGAGAATGCTTATGATGATGCTCATGCTGTTGCTGCTGCTGGCATCGAGGGTGGTGAAGTGCTGAACGAATATGAGGATGGTGTCAGTGGGGACAATGTTAAGCATTTTAGAAATGTTGAGAACGTCGGTGGTGATGGTGACCGTGATGATGACGATGGTGCTGATGAAGGTTCAATTAATGACAAGGACGATATCAGACCAAAGACAAAGGTAAATGGTCAGGACATGGTAAATGTTGAAACTACGAGCAGGTTAAAGGACAAAACACAAATGGATACAGAAACTGCAGACAACCAAGCCGAACGTCGCAATCAAACAAAGCTGATAGGACAATCGACAGACAATGAATTTAAAATAACAGCAACAATAGTAAAAAACATGAAACCAATACAAACTGGGGTCCAGGGAGAAGTGTCAACAATTGAAACTAAATTGCTTGACATATCAAAGCTCAGTTCAACGGATAATGCCGATGATATGAGCACGAAAACTGCAGAGAAGGAGGAGCTGGAGAAGGTCTCGTCCTCATCATCATCATCAGATGGCAATGATGAGATCAATAATGAAAAAATAGCAATAATCAAGCAAAAGGATTACAAAGGAAATGAAAAGGAAACACTGATGGCAAATCGACCAACGACATTTATGCCAAATAATGAAAAAGCGCATCTCAACGATGATAAGCATAATAAAAAATTTACCAAAGATGAACTGGAAAAAGAATTTCAAGCTATGGAAAAGGCACTGAACGCTCATCTGTTAAAGGCCAATGTAAAGACTCTGAATAATCTGGTTCAACAAATCGAACAATTCTCACAATTGGCAGATATATTTTTGGGTACTGGAACCTTTTCGCAACACTATCGCCGGGCAAGTAATAACATCCTTTCAAAACGGAAAAAGAAACAACAACAACATCAGCAGCAACATCAACGTAAGCAAACTGTAAAACATATCCATACATCCGAACGCCATAGTGGCAGTGAGGAAATTACACCGACAAATTGGTGGCATTCATTGCCACCATATGCGGAAATTACAAAATTCCTAAATTCTATCTTTGATACCGGTACCACAACTACCAACCAAGCCAGGACTATTGCCACAGGGAATGGTGTTGATTTGACATTAAGCAGATCCTTAAAACGGCATCAGTCACAGCAGCAGTAGGAGCACAAAGTGGTGGTAGCACCAACACAATCAAGTGATAACATCAGCTAGTCAGCTTGCTAGCTGTAAAATATGAACGGATATGAAAACAGGAATGGTCATCGTTTTTATCATCAACTCTCATCTTCTATATACCCTGAATAGTGTTCAGCAACATTATATTTTCCATATTTTATAGAAAAATACAAATCACTCACACATATGTAACTTCTCCATTTTAGTATAAGTTAATATAAGATAGATAACATAAGTTTGTATAGAGAAAGTATTTTAATTTTGTTTATTTTAAATTTCAATAAAAGTAATAAAAACTATCAACAGGAGATTGAGATCTACCCAAAAACACTTTTTATTTAGTAAAATACATATTCGATGTTATTATTTTTTAGACAAACGGAAATAATGCTAATAAAAACGAAAATAAATACCGAGTACTCTTATAAAATATTATACAAACAGATGAAATACTTGATTGACTTTCCCCACTACTCATACACAACCGAAAATACGGAATATTTATAAGAACTAAATAAATAGACCCTATCAAGCCAATTGAGAGCAACAGAGCCAAGTAAAACTGAAACACGTAAAAAAGAGTCAGACAATGTTGTCGACAGATATATACCCTCAGCCTATGGTTAACGGAGATATTCGAAATTTCATACAGATTTTATTATTCGCGCTATATGAAATGTATGTTTTTATAAAATAGGTCATAAATAGTGGACTATGTCATGGTTTAATTTTGGTTATAAAAACGTGCCTAAACTCATCAAAATACGGAATAATTGGGGGTACTGTTATATGGGGCTATACTGAAAAGTGGACCGATATCCATAATTTTTGTAATAGATGTGCGTGTGGGCAAAAACAAACCCGTTATCCCAAACAACGTATTCAACGGACTTATCCCCCGCTGTCTACATCCAATTGATGGGAAACCTTTTCGCTACAATGGGGAGATAAAAAAGTCGAAACCAGAGCTTTTGGATACATCAAAAACCGTGTTAAAGAAGAGTTCAAGGATTAGCAAAAATGCTGTGGTATGTGCATCTGAGGTGTAGTACTTTGATTGAGCCAATATAGTTATTGATGAATTTACAAAAAAAAAAAAAAAAACATAGCGGTTCCTTTTTGATCAGACTTCGTACAGTATATTATAACTATATATAGATAGCTACATAGGTACCTAGACTACGTTTTTCCCACGAAGGCACCCCTAGTAAAACCACTTGAGCAAGAAGAACATCTATGCATGTTTATTTTTACAACAACAATTAACAGTTTCTCTATAATAAATATTAATATAATTAATGTTTCCATTAATTACCCCTCATCTACGTCTCTTGAGCTACGTAAGTTAAATTCCAGCTTGTACCGTTGGTAAGACGATTTATATTGGTTATTACACGATAATTACCCCAGGGCCACCACCAAGAACTTCGTGTTGTAATCGGATGGGATGCTGGTGGTGCAATTGTTGTTCCAACTGAACTTCCCGCAATGACTGTGGTTGACACCGTCGACGTGGTTGTTGGTGTCGCGGTAGTTGTTGTCGTCGTTGATGGACTGGGTGTTGCAACACATGGACACTTGTGGTAAAAATAAGCTGGATAAGGTATTATGGGATGTGACACCAATGTAGGAATCGGGGTTGTGGTGCTTGCGCTTGTAGGGTTTTCCGTAACGATTGTGGCGGTTGGTGTTGATGGTTTAGGCTTTTGGGTGTTTTTTGGTCGTCTGGGGGTTGTTGGTGATTTAGGTTTTTTGGTGTTTTTAGGTCGTCTCTTGGTTGGTTTCTTGGGCCGGCGTGTTGTCGATGTAGTTCTTGGATCATCAATGGGCGCTGCCGAAAGTGGTGGCAATGTAGATGTTATTATATGGTGTGGTTGCTCCTCCACTTCATGGATCATGGATGGATTGGTAATATTTTGTGTTGTAATATTTACACTTGTGGAATTTTCTAATTTTGGATTTTCGGAACCATATTGAAAAATATTTAAATTTGTTATATTATTGAGAGTAAAATTATATATCGTCAATCCTTGCCATAAGCCACTTGTACTTATATTGTTGAAGGTAAACCCATTTAAATTCAGTCCCGGAAATATACGATTTCTGTGAAAATCTTCATTATATTTAATGTGAGATTTACTTGTTGCTGACAAAACATTTTGTAGAATTGCAATAACGATAAACGTTAGAAATTTTAAGTTCATAATTCGCGTATGGTCGAATAAAGACTGGTAGCTGGCAGCAACATAAAATCGCAGACTTTCCATAGTTTGACAATTTGAGAATGAAATATGATTGTATATTTATAATCTGAAGTTGAAATATTGTACCTATTTAAAATGCACATTCACCAAGCATTATTTAAATTTTGTAAACTAGTGGCGAATACCTATTTTTAGTAATTTTGCTAGTAAACATCTCGAGTCATATTTATGTTGAACCATAAGAAAAACTAATAAAGAAGTATACAACGATAAGAAAGTTGGCGCATAAACAATTAAAAAATGTGTTGAATTCTAAAATATTCTGATGTATGTCTTGAAAATATTGAGTCTTTAGTACAAAACGACAGCCTTAGCAGTACTTGAGTTATGGGTCACCGAATGGGACGCCAAATTGCCAAAAACTCGTTGTTTGTAAAATGCTGAAGCCCTAGTGGCAGGTGGTAACACTTTTCAATAGTGCCAAACAAAATTGACATAGATTTTTTAAAACCACTAGAATGTGTGCCATGTCGATAAAATAGGAGAAATGATCGAAGTTGCCCGTCATGTTAGCGGTCGTAACATTGCCCAGCAGCTTATAATCGACAATAAAATTGTTTTAAACCATTTACACAAAACTGAGTTCAAAAAGAAGCTCGATGTTTGTGTACCACACCAATTAACAGAAAAAATAGGACGGATCGAATTATATCTGCGAAGCCTTGGCCAAACAGAATGATATACCCAGACCCATTTTTTAAACGGATGGTGACTGGAGATGAGAAATGGATCACATACGATAACCTAGTGCGAAAACTATAGTGGTCAAAGAGCGGTGGAGCACTTCAAGCGGTGGCCAAACCAGAACTAACGGCCAGGAAAGTTCTACTATGCATTTAGTGGGACCGAAAGGGGATTGTTTATTATGAGTTGCTTCCATATGGTCAAAAGCTAAATTCGTATATCTACTGTCAGCAACTGGACCGTTTGAAGATAACAATTCACCAGAAACGGCTAGAATTGGTCAACAGGAGAGGTGTTCCACCAGGACAACGCATCTACAGTGACTGGCCAGAAACTTCGGGAGCTTGGTTGGGAAGTTTTAATGCCTCCGCCTAAGAACTTTTTTAAACAATGCCTCACTAATTGTTGCCAGGAGAAATCGAAATATTAAACATACTCTCATTTTGTATAATTTTGCGCAGGGCGATCAGCATACACACAATTATATTGGAATTTTAGTTCATTTGTAAAGATATTAAAAGACACGTCGTATATAATTTGAAAACACATCATCTATTTCAAACTTCGTTTTTAATTTTCCACATCAAAATTAAATATTTATGGGTTAATTTCGGTGTTATGGAATTTCAAATTCCATGAAGTTGCATTTGATGTAAATACGGGATCGCTTCTTTTAAACGATGACTGAGTCCTGATGGTAGTTGTTGTAGACATATCTTCTTGTTCGGATTCGATTGGAGCTTCGGTGGAGACATCATCCATTGGAGCTTCTGTAGATGATGATGTCTCTGTTGTGGTTATGGGTGCAATTGTGGTGGTGGTTGTAGACATTGTTGGTTCTGTTGTAGGTGTAATTACGTCTGGTGTCGATAGGGCGCTGCCAGTAATATCCTTTGGTAAAAATGGAACATAAATGATTCCATAGTAAAGAGGTGGTGGTACAACAACCTGTGTTGCCGTTGAGGGATTAACGGATTGGACTGGTTTGGGCATTTGGCCTGGTTTCATTGGGGGTTTCATTGGTGGCTTCATTGTGGGTTTCATTGGGGGCTTCATTGTAGGTTTCGATGGAGGTTTCATTGTGGGTTTCGTTGGAGGTTTCATTGTGGGCTTCATTGTGGGTTTCGTTGGAGGTTTTATTGTGGGCTTCATTGTTGGCTTCATTGTGGGTTTCATTGTGGGCTCCATTGTGGGATCCATTGTAGGCTGCATTGTGGGCTGTGGAGTGGTGGTTGGACGTTTTTTGATTTTATTTTTATTACTTTTGATATTATTCACTGCCGCTAGTTTATTTTGCCAAAACAAATCGTAAAAAGTTTTATCAATGTTTATGGCAACTATGCGATTATTTGGGTCGTTAACAGGAGTTTGCAATTGTTCTAATGAATCTGGCGCAATAAAAATGACAGGCATTGCATGAGGTTGTAATTCCATATGTTCTACATCTGTTTTTGGTGATTTTACAGCAGTTTGAACTTTACGTGTATTTTGTTCCAAGTGATTACTTTTTCTTACTTCCACTGTTTTCGATGCTTCGCCATGAAGTTTCCGTCTTATCGCGGGCTTTTTAAAGGGATTTTTTAGTTCTAATTCCAATAACATTTCTTCGTTTTCAAGATCCTCTAAAATCATTTTCAATTGCCTTAAATTTAATTCCTCCAATGGTTCGATGGGTTGGAGCCTCCTGCGATTGTGGTTTCGAACTCCATTTCGTACTCCTTGCTTGGCTGCCGTTATATCAAGGCAAACTAAAATGACCAAAGTCACCAAAAACGATCTGAAGATGATCATGATCCCAGCTCTTCTTGTTGTAAACTGACTAAGATACAGATTTTATTATCTGCAAAGATATGAATGTGGTCGATGTAACATAAATCCATACATAGGTATGGCAAACTTTCTAAAAACAAAATGTTATAGTTTAAAATGCGAAATGTAAATTTCTGTAACAAAATTATTCAAACGATGACCCAAATTCAAGAGCCTAAAATATGTATGTATTTGTAGATATCTTCTTAATATTTGCTAATATATTCAAACAAATATACGCAAATAAAAAGGCATCACACCTTCCAGAAAGGCACTAATCTACTAAAAATCCCATTCAAATATTTACATTCAGATATGGGATTTTTGACCCATCACATGGGATTGAAGTGTGATTTGGCAAAATATATCATATAATATATGCGGAGCTAGTAACTGTCAAGTTCTGTTTCGGTAATGTTTTAGAGACCATCCACTACTTTTGTAGTGGATGGGCTCTAATTCTGTATACCGATCGTCATCTGTGTATATTTTATATTATGGTTATTTTTTTATGGTTTTCTATTTGCTCTGCCGAAAACAACTAAATTAAATTTGTATTCCATACATATCGCCCATACATGGTCGATATAACAACCATGTTTGACTGTAAAATATTGTTATTAAAATTAATCACTAACGAGCCTGCCTAGCGGACATCGGAGTATTTATTTAAGCATAGCATCTTTATATATGGAATAACTAATCTAAACTAAGGCATGATTACAATATTCATATTACAAATTATGTTAATCAAATTCATTACATTAAAGACCTATTTGTCGAATACGTCATTAAACTTGTTTATAGATTTAAAGCACTGTTATGATTTTGAAAATTAATTGACAGGTGTCACTTTCTCTTGTTATTAGTGAAGAATATGAATAGAATCCTCATCCGTTCGTCTGTTTGTCCATGTTAAATTGTTAAGGAAGTGCAGGTATCATCCGAATGAGCTGAAATTTGGCACAGATCATTTGCTTTCCCCAGGGACGAATCCTGTGGAAATTGGTGAAAATTGGTTCCGATTTAGATACAGTTTCCATATATGTTTTCGCCCGATTTTTAGCAAAAGGGTGGACCAAAGAGTCAAATTTAGGCCGATTGGCACAGAATTTTGCACAACGTACAGAAATTAGGATAGCTTAACGTGTTCCAAGTTGTATTGAAATCGGTTCGGATTTAGATATAACCGCCATGTTAAAATGAGACATTGAAACCCAACCTTATTGTTCGATTGTAGTTTCATCTCTAATTTATTTATGAAATGTTCTGACCTAAGTACTACATAAACTAATCTAACTTAGCCTATCTTAAACACATAACAACTATCAGTTCTCACAGTGCACATGGGGGTTGCGTTCATTTTTTACATCAAATGAGCGCACACACAGATCTTGTGACAGCATGGCCACTTATCGTAACACCACTTGAACATCATTTATGAAATGCATAAATGTGAAGTGATCATAAAATTAAATGAATGAAGCCGAGCATGTTCATATTTTGATGAACATGCCATATAGGTTGGGAACAAAGAAATCTATTAGGCGGGTAGTCGAAAATGTCTATACAATCGGAGAAATGTCGTAACATCGCCCAGGAGCTAAACATGGGCCATAAAACTGTTATAAATCATTTACACAAAGCTGGATTCTAAAAGAAGCTCGATGTTTGTGTGCCACACCAATTAACTGAAAAAAAAAATTGGATGGATCGAATTTCCATCTGCGAAACCTTGGCCCAACTGAATGAGATAGACCCATTTCTTAAATGGATGGTGACTGAATATGAGAAATGGATCACATACGATAACCCTGTGCGAAAACGGTCGTGGTCAAAGAGCGGTGAAACACCTCAAACGGTGGCCAAACCAGGACTAACGGCCAGGAAGGTTCTGCTATGCATTTGGTGGGACTGAAAGGGGATTATTTATTATGAGTTGCTTCTATATGGCCAAACGCTAAATTCTGATCTCTACTATCAACAACAGGACCGTTTGAAGATAGCAATTGACCAGGAACGGCCAGAATTGGCCAACAGAAGAGGTTTCGTTTTTCATCAGGACAACACTAGGCCACACACATCTACAGTAACTCGCCAGAAACTTCGGGAGCTTGGTTGTGAAATTTTAATGCATCCCC